AAATCCAAAGAAAGACCCTAGTTTAAGCAAGAATTATTATATTTATCTTCTCTCTGCACAAAAGAATGGCTCATCGAGGAAGATTTTAATTTTTCTCGATGGTCTTATGAAAATCAAAAGGAGGCCCCCCACCAGTAGCATGCGTTCGTTTAATTCTTTCATCAATCGGGCTACATTAATAGATCTTCCGCAAACTTCTCTATCATCATCAATGGGCACCCTAGGGGAAAGATCTTGGCTTCACAAGGGCTCGTACAAAGTGATTGCTTTAGTAGGCTCTTGTGACAAGCCACCTCCAAGAACTTCATTTAGGGTTTTGGTTGATCGCTTTAGTAACCTCTTCAATACTTGGTATAAATTTGGATGGATTCTTGGTTAACTCAATTGCAAATCGCTAGGGTGCAAAGTTGGTGGCAGGAAAAATTCTTATCTTGAGGTCCACTTGAATGTAAATCACAAGAGATGCAGTTTTCTTGTCCCCAATGGTGAAAAATATTGATAAGAAACTACAATCTTGGAAAAGTTCTCATATCTCCTACTGGCATAGGCTCACTCTCCTACAAGCCACTTTATCAAATCTCTCCATTTATTATTTGTCCTTATCAAATCTCTCCATTTATATGTTTAGAAAACCTCTCCTTAAATGTTGAGAATGGAGCACCTCCCCATAAAGTATCTGAGGGGTTCTTTTGGGAGGTAACCACTGTATTGCTTCCTTTTGGGATCCTATTGTTGACAAGTTTAGACCAAAGCTTGATAGATGGAGGAATTTATTGCTTTCTAAAGGTGGAAGATTGACTCTTGCACTCTCAACTTTCAATAGCCTTGCAGACTATGCTTTCTCTATCTTGAAGGCCCTTATGTGACAAATGAATTGGAAAAGATTGTTAGGAACTTCAACTTTCAATAGCCTTGCAGACTATGCTTTCTCTATCTTGAAGGCCCTTATGTGACAAATGAATTGGAAAAGATTGTTAGGAACTTCTTTTGGAGTAGCGGCAAATGCCACCCTTAAAGACACCATGTTAATTGGGGAATTACTTCTTTGTCGAAGTCCTTTGGTGGGTTGGGATTAGCAAGCTTTAAACAAAAGAATGCATCCCTCCTCCACAAATGGCTTTGGAGATTCACTCAAGAAGAAAATGCATTATGGAGGCAATTGATCACAAGTATATACAGGACCAATCTCCTCGAGTGGAGTCCCCTCCCTCCAAAAGGCAAAGCTTTCAGAAGACCATGGGTGGACTCTTTCAACAACTTCGTCTCCTTCAAGGCAAGCAATGAGCTGAAAATCAGATTTTGGAGAGATAAGTGGTTGGGCTCTTCCTCTTTGGAAGAACCATACTAATCCTCTTCAACATTTCCCTCGAGAAAAAAGCAACAATTGTGGAGTGTTGGAATGACGAACACTGTGACTGGTATTTGGGCTTTAGAAGGAGATTCCGTGACAATGAACTCCTTAGTCTGCTTTCCACAAAGGTCGGGACGCAAAAAAAATTCTTTGGGAAACTTCCCCCAAGCTGTCTCCCCTCATCAACTTGATCTGGTAGTTTGCTTACCCAAAAAAGGTTAAGGTGTTTTTGTGGAGCCTTCCTCATAGAAGTCTCAACACTTATGAAAGGCTCCAACGAAAGCTTCCCTACTAGTCCCTCTCCCCCACGGTTTGCAGCCTCTGTTTAAGAGAGGGGGAGAACTTAGACCACATCTTTATTCACTGTTCTTTTGCCTCCAAGTGCTGGAAGGTGCTGGTTAAGGTTTTTGTATCCCCAGATCAATAGAAGAGTGGTTGCTTGAGGCCTACAAGAGTGGTTCCTAAAAGGCAAGTCAATGACCCTTTGGAGTTGTGCTGTTCGAAGCCTTTTTTGGGGTCTATGGAACGAAATAAACCAGTGTTTTCAACAACTTTTCTTGTCCTTTTGATTTTTTTTGGTCTAGTGTCCAGAGTACCACTTTCATGTAGTGCCTCAATAATAGGAAATTCTTTTGCAATTACAGCTTAAGAATGCTTACGCAAGATTGGGAAGCGATTTTGTACTAGTTCTTAGGAGGGGGCTTTCTCATCTTTTGGCCTTTTTGTGATTAATATATACACTATTTCTTATAAAAAAAGGTCCATTTATTATTTGTCCACCTTTGTTACGCCATCCAAAGTAGTCCAATCAATTGAAAGGCACTTTAGGAACTTTCTTTGGAGAGGTAATATTGACAAATCGGATCTTCATGTCACATGGGACAAAATCCTCCTTCCAATTGAAGGAGGAGGCCTGGGAATTCATAGCTTGAAGGACAAGAATAAAGCCTTGCTTGGCAAATGGACTTGGCATTATCAAAAGGAAAGAACAACTCTATGAGGAGAATCATCGATTCTATGTTTGGTAACACTGCTTTGGAAATCAAATCGGGGAGAGTGACCTTGAACACCTCTTGTGGATCTTGGAAAGAGATCTAGAAACAACAAAACCTTGTACTGGACCGTATGGTTTGTCAGGTTCAAAACGGGGCCTTCATCTCCTTTTAGAATGAATGCTGGCTCCCTGATGTTCCTTTAGTTTCAAAATACCACCATGATGTTCCATTAGCTTCAAGATACCCCCAGCTCTTCTGTATTACTCTCCTAAGACAAGCTTCTTGTTGAGATTTGAGGTTTTTCTTCATTAAGTTTTCAGTTTTTTATTTTTTAAGTTTCTTTCTTTAAAGGTTAGATTTAATTTTATGTTATTTTGTCTTTTAATTTTTCAGTTTTAAGAATAGTACGTTTTTAGGTTTTAAATGTTGTTTTAAGATTTATGTTGGTTACAAAATAGGTCAAAGAATTGTACCCATATAAGGGTGAACTTCCATGAGAAGTTTGTACCACCAAAATATTTCTAACACATATTTGGTACTACCAAAATATTTGTAACACATTTGGAACCATCACATCTTGTACCACATTTTGGTATCACCAACATTTGTACTTTCATTTGTTTATTCACAATTTTATCACTTCAATTTGAAGTTGATTTCTCTTCTATTGATTTCTACTCTCTCACATCCATATTTCCTCATTGTTCATCAAACATTGAGAATTTTACTATTGCTTCAGCATTATTTTTATCACTTTCATTTTCTCAACACTTCTGTCAAGGATTTTTGGGAAACATGTTGGGACTTGAGTCGCAGAAGAAACCTCAAGGATGCAGAGATTATTGAATGGGCTAAGCTCATCCATATATATATCATCCATTCACACAAATCAATTTGAAGCTCTTTGGACATGGAAGCTGGATAGTAAAGGTATATTTTCCACAAAATCTTTACTTATTGATACGTGCAACAAGATAGAAAAAAATCATCCTATTTCAACAGAATCTATTTGAAAAGTTATCCAAAAAAGTTCTTTCTCTGCAAACTATCTCATCAGGCCATCAACACTATGACAAGCTTCATCCCTGGCTGCCTCATTTGTTTATTTCTCTTTACTGGTGTGTTCTTTGCAAAAAAAGATGCAAAATCTCAAAGTCATATCTTTACCTCTTGCTCCAAGACATCCAATTTTTGGAAGGATATCCTATCCTCTTTCAACTGGAAGGTGGCTCTACCAAACAATCCTAGAAGTCTTCTCTTAGACACGCTTGATGGTCACCCATTCGAATGGAAAAAAGCTTCTTCGGATAACATCATTCGGAAGTTTTTTTGGGTTACTTGGATAGAAATGAATCAAAGACCCGTCATCGATAAAGAGCAAGCATATGATATATTTTATTATAATATTATCTACCTTGCTATCTCTTGGTGCAAAATGTCACCGCGCTTTTATTCCTATATTTATGCTTCTCTTTCATCCAATTGGAGAAGTTTCTTGTCAGCCTGTGTTGGATTTATAGAGCAAAAATCACTAATGTTTTCCAATACATGGTTAAAAAGTGATTGTGAATAATAATGGTAGTCAGGGCTGAGCATGGGGAAATCGTAGTAGAGGAGGGGCAGTTGGTAGGTCGGAGTAAAGGAGCTTTTGCTTTCCAATCCTCCAGAAGGCTATTATTCAAACCGGCTTTGTAGGAAGAACCCGCATTGATGGAGATTGGTGGATAATCAATTAAGAGAGAGGAAAAGTAGTTCCAGCAGTAATGATTCTCACTTGATGGAATAAGAAGCTTGTTGCAGCCCCCATTTGTTGTTCAGCTTGGTGATTTCAGAACAATGACTTTTTCGATTAGAGATTTTCTCTGGTCATCTGTCTGAGTTTCCTAAAAAAAGAACTTCAGGTTTAGTGGAGCTCTGAAAAGGGTGTTGAAACAGTTGGTCAGCCATGTGAGGGAACCCAAGGCAAAGACAAGGAGAAGAATCGGTATCGAGAAGTTCTAGAAATGCTAGCACGACTGCCACGATAAAAACTATCTACTTCTATAGAAGAAGTTTTTATTGCAAAGGTTATATTCTTTCAATTTCTTTTTTGCAAACAAGTCTTTACATTTTTTATTTTCAGTGTTTTTCAATCACTTATGAACTTTGAGATAATAACATTGTTGAAAGGTCATCTAATTTTGATCATCAATCGCAAATTATAGAGGTAATTAATCAAGATGAAATACTATAGTCATTATTTAAAACCATCCTTGAAGTTCATTAGAGACTTCATAAATAATAAGAAAGCCTTGAAAGAAAATCAGAAGTTTTCTCCACCAATTATAGTAACCTTCCTGGTAGGTAGAAAATTCAGATCCCTCTTATCAAAAAAGAAAATTCAGATCCCAAAACCCACAACTGTAACACTACATTAAATAAATTAAAAAAAAAGATCACTAGACTAAATCTAATAGGTTTTCTAGATAGATATGTTTCTGTCTTCAAAAAATCTAATTTTCATGCCCAATATCTGCCAAAATGTTGAGAGAAAATCAGCATCCGCTAATCCTACAAGACAAGTAACCTAAGTTGAGCGTTTCTTGTTCATAACAAAATGAAAGGCCCTAGTGTAATAGACTAGATAACAATGTCATCCTTTCAGAATTTTGTACCTGACGATTATGTACATACTCCAAAAATGAAGGAACGTCAGGGTATCTGCATTCTTCACTATCAATAGGAGATTTCTGAAAACAAATAATGTCTCCATCCTCAATCTGCAAAAAAACAAAAGGATGACATACGAGAGCCATTTCAATGATCCAAACGACATAAAATGAGCGAGATGCTAATTACTACCTGACTAAGTCGAAATGAAGTTCTTTTATCTAGGTGTTCGCACATGACACAAGGCTCAAACTTTATTTCCTGATGATCAACAAATAAGCATCTGACTAAGAATGATTTATAGATGAATGAGACCAATTGGGACTACAAAGTTTGAGGAGAGGAAAATCAGAACATATTGTGAACATACCTCAAAAAGTTCAATCTCTTGGTCAGGAGCAAAGCCAGCCATTTTATTTAGTTTTTCCAAAATTTCAATGGGCTTAGTTGAACTCTTCACAAAAAGCCTACCTACATATCTGGCATGGCAAAATATATAGAAATATGTCATCATCCAGAATCAAACGCCAGCAATTAATCACTCAGGGGAAGACCTATAATATACCTTAGCTCTCCTTTCTCAGGGTCATAAAGCTTGAAGAAAAGCAGAATATCATCTTTGTTTTTCTCAGGTGGAACGATAGGATGTAAATCCTGAAGCATGAAAACAAATGAATGCAGGACTTACAGATATTATACATACGAAATGCACACGGATATCTTCCCCAAACCTCCCCTCTTGAAATTGTCAGATTTTATAATTGTATAACTCATGCTATTTACATTATTGAAAAATAACATATTACACCCATGTATCCATGTAGTTTCTAAAATCTGAAATCATGACCTCCTAGCCAAATTCATTTATAATGCTCTGTGGTTTTATTACACCGTATTCATAGATATCTCATTGTATCTATCTCATTGATACAAAGAAATATACAAAATGTAGACATCCATCAAGAATTGATGCTTAAAAAAGCCTTCCAGTTCGTCCAAGATAACTAAGACTATATTTGTAGACTATTGGGAGAAACATTTACACCAGCTAAAAGCTTGCACAAGAACTTTCACAAAAGCTATCAAAAGGGAGGATTCAATGATTTTAAAAATCTACAAATACTGTTATGTTAATTTTTATGATTCTTCTTAGCGGAGCTAAAACACAGACTTATTCCGGGTGAACTAATTTAGTTAGAAAGTAACCATCTTGGATAACGAAAGGACATGATCTATAGATATAACATACCACACTGATACTTTTAAGCCATTTATAAAAAGATAAGATATGATAAGTAAAAGTTGCAAACTAAGGTGGTGTAATTTGCAATTATCAGTTACACAAATACACTTGTATTCATGTTTCAGCGAATACAGCAAATATTAAAACTACTAAATAATATGGGTCATACATGTAACTAACAAAAGGTCCCCTCCCACACCCCCCCCAAAAAAATGTTAGTTTAAAATTTTTGAAATAACTGTTACCAATCCGAGCTCTACTTCCAAGAACAACTTCAGTTCTGCATTATTAGCTTTGTTAGATGCTTCCCTCAACTGTCCAACCTGCATTGGTAAAATTTACCCATTAGCCTGAACTGTACTTGTTAGATCAGAACTATCAGCAAACCATAATGACCAACTACAGCAAGCAGACAAATCCTCGGACTAGGATTCACATCACAGCTATTCTATGCTACAAAAAAGGCATGTCGTGTAAATTATGGGACATTGCAAATATAATTTAAGAATAGAAGAAATTATTACAGATTGTGCCTCTTCCTGCGGGGTCAATGGCCTATTAGGACGATAAGTGTGATTTTGTCGCTTTGCCCAAATCCAATATCGCTGAAATTGAACTGGTATGCCGAACTCCTTGGCAACCTCTTCCTGCAAACCACCACAAATCAAAATGGAAAAGGAAAAGTTATATATACATGAAATACATAATTAATACCGAACAACACATCCTGAAAAGAATGGTAATAAACCAAAACAAAAAGACGAAATTGGAGAGACAAAATGCACAAGGAAGCATTATAAGTAATATACTCAAAGAACTAGTTTTTGAAGCAAGGAATATCGACGAAATCAAACAAAAAACATCATTTGAATAGAAGAACGAATGCCATAAACATGAGTTTTTGTTTATTTTCCTTCTATCAAATGGATGGAAGCAATCATATGCAAAAGAATTTACAACTGTTAGGAGTAGTCACAGGCACATTAAGGTTCCTAAATATGCCAGTTTCTAAAAGTCAGTTGTACCTTGAAAAGATTAAAAGGTATCTGTTTCTGAATGCGGAAACTGCGGACTTTGTCATGATCAACAAGATCAAAATATATACCCTTTCCTATTTGTTCTTGAAGGTCGTCGTCTCGTGCAACCTACCAGCATAAATCAATTGTCTCACAACCATGGTCCATAATAAACTCCCAAAAAATAAAAATAGAAATTGACAATATATATCTACGGGTGTTTGTGCTATATATTTTGATCTAAACCAAATCATAAAAAGTTAAGTTCCTTTATGGTGGACATAAATTCCAACCTGTGGATGATATAAATTACTGAACATAAAAGAGAGTGACAAGTCGTGACCTTGATTATAGCATAGAGATGGGCCTGCGCTTTATATCTTCTCTTATCTTCCTTCTCCTCCTGTTCTTTCTTTAACCTTATCTATATGGTAACGAGAAAAGTCAGCCTGCTTCCACATATTTTCACCTTTGATTAGAAGTCACAAAGATATATCTGAATGAATAAATTTACCCTAAGGTGTTCGGCTATGTCTTTCTCATCCACGTTGCAAATTATTTTGTCTTTGTCACTTTCACGGATGTACACAAGCATATATGCATTAGAATATTTGGTGAACTTGAAGGGAGTGTTGTTGAAGCCGGGGTTGTTCTGTGGCAACTGTCAAACATGATAAAATTTGAATTGAGTTCAGATTAAACATGATATACGAAGTGGACAAGGTAAAGAACTTCTTTAAGGTGAAACAAAACTTTCATTAAGCAAGTTACATCACCTCTTCCTCACCACCATATTGCTCTTCCAGTGCTCTCTTTGTGTCCTCTTTTGTCACTCGCTCATCATCAAATTTGTACCTAAAATAATGAAATTTGAACCAAATAACTGACCAACAATAAAATAAGACTTTTTAAGTGTAGGTTGTGAGACTCAAGAAGGAATCATTCTAGAGTATATAAACCCTTGTACAGGAAAATCCCGAAATAACTACACATAGTTCAATTCTCATAGATGCCCATTATCCTTCACACCATCCTCAAAAAAATTGGCACTATATACAGGAAGAAATAAACCATTGTCAAAGAAGTCTTCAAGCTATTGTCAATGGATCTTAAGATAGGATCTGTTCATAGACAAAACATCAGTGATAATTTTATAATTGTGTGCACGCAACCGCATGATGTTTATAAGAGTACAAATTTGAGTGACAAAGACAATAACTAAAAATTCGCCATGACAATCGTGCATACCACTGATCAGATAAGGTTGGCCGGATAAAAGCATAATAATGCCCACCATGGACACCACCACTATGTACCAACACACTGCATCAGAAAATCAAAACAAGTTAGAGGTTGAAACTTCATATTTAACAGTCAATGCAACCATATAAAGAAAACTAAAAATATGAGGAACAAAATATGGAATATAAGTAAATCCAAGTAGATCACGTCCATCCATCAAAGCCATTAAAAGAATGGCATTTTATTGTTCCTCTCAGATGTAAATGCATGGAAAAAAGATCAAGCTTGACACTGAGTTTAGTTTTAGATTGCTCTATTTCATAAACAAAGGTGACGGCCAAAGGGACAAACATTTATTGAGGTCAATTATATTCTACTTCTTTTTTTAGCACAGAAAACTATTGTATTCTTCTT